CCTCCACAAAGTGCTGCAGGGTGGGTCGCTCTTGCACGTGTGTCAGTCCTTCAAGGACAGGCTGCTCCAGCGTGGGTCCCCCGTGGGATCACAAGTCCCACCAGGAAATCTGCTCCGGTGTGGGCTCCTCTCTCCCCAGGTCTGCAGCTCCCTGCCTGGAGCCTGCTCCAGCACAGGCCTCCCACGGGCTCACAACCTCCTCTCAGGAATTCCCTTGCTCTGGATTGGGTCTCCTCTTCGGGTGGATCTCTGCATCCCTGTGATCCTCCATGGGCTGCAGCTGCTTCACCATGGTCTGCACCACGGGCTGCAGAGGAATCTGAGCTCCAGCACCTGCTGGAGCACCTCCTGTCCCTCCTTCTGCACTGACCTTGGTGTCTGCAGGGTTGTTCCTGCCACATGTTCTCTCTCTGCTCTTCTGTGGCCACCAGTACATCTGTGCAATTACTTTTTTTCTTCTTAGATCTGTTACTGTGTTACTGTCAACTCTGATTGGTCCAGCCTTGGTCGGTGGTGGGTGCATCTTGTAGCTGCCAGGGATTGGCTCTGCTGGACATGGAAGAAGCTTCTGGCAGCTTCTCACAGAAGCCACTCCTGTAGGCCCTCCTACTACCAAAACCTGGCCACTGAAACCCAGTACAGTAGTCTGTCAGAATACTAATTATTTATATAAAGTTATTTTCTCTCCAAGGATTGATTTTCTTTTTCATGAATGTGTGTTTTGTAATCATATGGCTATACACATGATTTGAAAGTAGGTTTGTTTATTAGTTGTCTACACATCTGTTGAGTCAATGACAATTTATATGTGTATATATACTAATGTATTTGCAACTAATGCATATATTCTACCTATTTATGAAATACAATGATATAAAAAATTCGTGCTTATTCAGATGTCTGTTTTAATTCTAGTCTTACAAAGTATGTGAATTTGTAAGTAAATCAAAATGGTGAATAGTCAAGAATTGGTCATGAGTATCTTCTTTCATATTTTATAAACTTTACAGTAGTTGATGGTTCTGTAAAGATGAGTCTTTGTCAGTCAGATAGGTAATATATTACCACTGCCTCGCCATCTCTCCTCTGATTTTTTGTATTATTAGCTGTTCCTGAATGGTCTGGGAGAAATATTCAGGAGTACATAATTACACTTCAGCAGGGTATTGCATCTGCAGTGAATTCTTCATGTACACTATTGTGCAAAGTAAGTAAGTAGGAGGTTTGGAGAAGTCCTCTACACATTCTTAGCAATAAAGTCTTACCATTCTTTATTGCAGTTTTCTTCTGGTGGCTGTTTTCTTTTTTTTTGTGGTAATGTTGACCACTTGAATGAAAAAATACAGATTTTTTTTCCTTCATTTTAAAATTCTGTCTTTAAAAATAAGTGGAACTATTGAGCTGCTGAAAACTGAAAGTTACCTTTTTCTTTTGTACTACTTCTTATGTTTTATGATCATAGCTACAGAACTGAAGGTTTAAATGCTGATTTTAAAAATCACTTCTTTGTTTTTTCCAATGAAGTTAGTCTTTGCAGAGAGAGAAGGGGAGAGGTAAACAGTGGTGAGAAGAGCCTGGTGAGCAATGTCCAGACTTTTCCAAAAACCAGTCAGGTATCCAGAAATGCCTGTTCTTGAAATGTTTAGTGCTTTAACAGTTTGTATTTTCTTCCATCATTTTCGTTATCTTTTCAGGTTAACATATTGTCTTTTAAAAGTTTGTGGGTGGATGCACACTTCTGGTTTGGTAATTAGTATGATGATTAGCTATTCTTCTGTTGGCACCTAGAAAAATGTTTAAACTACTGGTGAAGTGTTCTAGGCAAATTTTATTTACCTTTTCCAGTCTGTATTGTTATGGGTATCATTTAAATTAAAAGGAAATGGCTGATAAGATTCAAGTCTAAAGATACTTAAGCAAAATTTTCCTGTTAGCACAGAACACTGAGATGATTTTAGCTGTTTCCAAATTTTTACCAATTGAAGTGTGAAAAAATAGTTGCTCATAAGGTCTATAAAAAGTAATTTCCTTATTGTTCCCCTTGAAAATCAAAGGGAGTTGCAGTTTTGACACATGTATTGAGATTTTCTAGAAGGCTGCACCACAATGGCTGAATCTGGATGTCCATCTTTGAGCATAAATGAGTGTAATATTATAAATCCTTGCTCATGTGCTCAGAAACTGCATACACCTTCTGCCTTAAAAAGTGTTAAATGCTTTCATCCTAAATAAAAATACAGCCTCATGTCTGTTACCAGTGATTTGCTGGGAGTCCAAACTTGATATGGTCTAAATACACTTTGTTCATAATTTCAGTATGTTTTATTTTATAAAAGGAAACCTGACATTGTTCTCCTTAGTTTATCAATGATTTTGGAATTCACTTTTGCCTTAGCAGATAGATACCTGCTTTCATCAGGCATTCTAATATCAAGGGATAAAATCTGTAAAAAGACGCTGAGATTTCCTGTGTTAAAATTGTATGTCTTTCTTGCATATCAGTTGTGTTTGTCAGGAAGAAGTAATGGATAGTTTTGTTGTTCTTCCATATAGCTTTTCAAATCCTGTTGGTCAAAGATTAAGTGGGTCAAGGGAAAAGGAAACTGTTCCTGCCGTTCCCAATTTCTTCACATTCTTATTCTGTTGTCCAATTATTTTCTAGTAGTCATCAAATCCAAATTCACTGTTCATGCTATTCATGTCATTGTTTGTTTATGAAGGTAAATAATATGTTGGCAGGCTGGTCATGCTGTTTCCTCCAAAAGCAGGGTAGTGGATCCATCAAGTCCTACTCAGAGAAACAGAAAATGCCTTCTTAACAAACAGTGAACTGTTGGCCTGCTTTTTCTCCAAGGAGGCAGTTTGAAGGCTTCTTTCACTATGAAATTCCTGAATATACTGTGTCCTCAGTATATATACATGGGAGTGGCATTCCCTTCTGGTCTTCCCCCTGGTGTTTCCCTCCAGAAATTTATTTCCACCCAGTAGCATGGGTGCCTACCACTGAAGTCAGTAACACAGTGGCTTTATTCACCATGGCACTTTTCTTCTGTCAGGGAAGTCCTTCACCTGGTGTGTACAGCAGGCAAAAATGTCATTCCTTTGATGTTTTGTATAGGTTCTTTATAAGTGACTATCACAGTGTTCTACTGTGTTTTTAGGCTAATTTTTTTTTTTAAGGGGTGTTCTTTTCCTTTGTGTAAGCAGGCTTTCTGCAATACTAATAGTGAACTACAGTTTCACAGTTCAAGTACCATTTTGGCAGCAGTGTTGAACTAACTCATCATCAGATTTAGTGACTATTAATTAGGAATTAAGTTTTACATTCTAAAGCTGACAGTTAACTATGTTTTCTCAGTGGGATGTAAGTGTGCTTATGTAAGACCATGGTAATTTGATGACTGAAGATAGTGGGGTTTATGACTTGTGGGTCTATTTCTTGAGGGAGAAGATGTTATTTTTTTCATGTAGAAGTATGACAGGTAGAGCGTGTCTTGCTGAGTAGACTGATATGATGTATCTTCCTGCTATCCTAGACAGACAGTTGCAGGCGATGCTATTTCACTGCCTCCCTAACCAATTCCTATGAACAATTATATAACAATTAGAAGGGAGGAGGGGAGAAGGAGCTTGAATGGGCCATATATTTTCTCCTCAATGGAAAGGGTTATGTTTCAGTGACCTCTGGCTGCACTTCAATTTATGTTGCTTGTGTCTTCCTTGATAATACTGAACACGTATAGTCTTTTCTATCCATTTTGCAAAAGTATTCTTTATTATCTGCATATAATATGTTTATTTATAGAGTTTTAAATTGCATTTTAATACATCCACGTAATAAACATAACACCTTGTGTGCTTTGATCAGTTTCTTTGACTATAGGAAATAATTTTTCTTTTCAGTGGAGTACAGTAAATGCTGATATAAAAGCTACAACAGGCATTCAAATGAGTGAATATTTAGAAAAAGATGAAAAGCATGTTCGTATTATCTTTGTGTGTTACTTAAAGAATGTTCTAAATGTATGCAGTACCACTGTGCTGGGGGACTGTAGTCTGAAGTAACATGGGAACTAACATATTAATATCAAGGTAAAGGTACATATTCCCCAGATGCATAGTTTTACCTTTTTCAGCTTTTATTATCTTTAGAATAGTGTTCCATTTATTTCATGAATACAGAAGTATTAATTGGCCATGACATGTTCCAAAGACAAAAGAAAGGTCTAATTCACTCTAACAAACTTGTTAGTCACTGTTTATATCAAGAGGATTGTGAATCTACAGAGAGTAACACTGTTTTCTTCTACACTTGCTTTGTTTATAAATCAAAAGTTTTTAAGTGACCTGTGGTGCCTGCTTGTAGTTTGAAATGTTGCTTCTAATGCAGACCTCCACCATGTAGCACAGATATTTATCCCATAAGATTAATTCTTTAAGTTCATCTGGGGGAAAGGAGGACCAAAAAAGAAATACTAATATTGTGGTGCTTTTAGAGTATTGGGATTTTTTTGTTCTGCAATGCAATATTTCATATTCTAAGATGAAATCCTTCTGAGTGGTGTAATTGCTTATTTCTGTGAGCACTGGGCAATTTTTGAATGCTAAGCTCTTGACTTCTGATTGACCATACATATTGGTACTTCTAAACATTTTTTTTTATGAATAGGTCTAATTTTTTAACTTAGAATTTTTTAGTATTAAAGTGTATAGCTGTCTCTGACAGTGATATTTAGAATTGTGTTGGTTGTCATTAGCTGTATCAATTTCTAATTGTTGTGATTTCACAGTATTTCAGTTGAATGATTTGTGTGATTTATCTAGTGAAGTACATGATCTTTAATGTAACAAAACCAGGGTTTAAAGTTTTCATCCATCCTAATACAGTTACTGTTTGCTTTGTTCACCAATCACTCTGATCCTCCTAGCAGGGGACAAGACCTAGAGAACAAAACTGATAGTGACTGTGTAGATAAAACGGCAATGAATTCTGCTTTTAAGGCATAGAGGGAATAGTCTGTAAAAGAATAAAAATTGGAATGAAAGTGCAGTGTCTTTAACCTGCAGATCTATTGTACCTTTGAAAAGCTTGTACTCTGAAAAAAAACATACTGTGATTCTAGAGAGATTCATAATTATGTGACAGAACACTTTGAAGAGAGGTCACTTTAGAAACTGACCAAAAAGCTTGTCAAGAAAATAGACCACATTATAAATAATAGCAGAAGTAAAAAACATATTTCCTTAAAATGTCTGCAGATAGTTTTAATGAAATACTAAGTGTCATAATGTATTTTATTTATTATATGATAAAGTTGTGTTATTTATTTTCTGATAGAGCCACTTTTTAAACTTAGTGAAGATGATGGGGTCAAGGGTAATACTCCAAAGAGGTATATGAGAGAAGTTTCACGTGAGATGTTACAGAAGGTAAGATACCAAGCCAAACAAACAGATCTAAATTTTAATATAAGAATCTATCTATCTATCTATGTAGATATATACATACGTATATATGTATGTATGTATACATGTATGTTTGTGTGTATGTATGTATGTCTGTACTCAAGAATTTAAGCCATCATTTTCCTTCCTAATTTAAAAATGTGGCCTTCCTGATTTTTGCTCAGAAATAAATTCTAGGGAAATAGCTGTGAATCTGTCATGTAAGATAAACATGGGTGATGTCAGAGAAAATGAAAGGAATGTTTAGAGGTATAATGTTAAAAGCTAACAGATTATCTAAATTATAAGTAACATACACTTAGCATTTTTCCTCTTAACTTTGGGAACCTTTTCTTTCTTTTTTCTGGGTTTTTAATGTCAGATTATATCAAGTGTTAATCTCCATAGATCTCCTCTACAGAATAGAATTGATGCATTATAGTGGTAAATCCACCATTTTTTGTATTTAAATTTTAGCACAATGTTTCATGTGCTAGTATTTTCTACCTATGTGTGGGTCTACCAGTCTTTTTACAAGACAGTACCATAAGCATGTGGTGTTCTCTAGCTTAACAAATAATGATATAAGTATTTTATCTTCTTAACATTCTACAGGTTTTGCCTCATACAGTAATGAGATGTTCTTAACTAGTTGGTATTGTATTGATATTTGTAATATACACAAGTAGTTTAGTGTGATAACAGGTGTTCACTTAAGAGGGCTCACTTGTATTTTACCATATGTTTTGTTTGCTTGCAAAGAAAAGGCATCCTTCAAACAGTATCATGCCTTTTGTTTGTCATTTTGCAAAACTATTTGTTTAATTACTTATAAATCTTTAAAAGCATGCTTAAATTGAATAAACACAAATCTATAACTTTGAATGTCAGTTCAGGTATGTCTATTTATTTTTTATCCGTGAATTAACTTGTAGGAAGTATGGTAATTTACAGCAGATGATGTGATTGCATATACTTGTAACACTTGCCATATGGTCAGGCAATGAAGGCTGTCATCTCGTTATTACTGAATGACAAACATCATGTTAAAATAATAACACACAGAATAGGAAGTGCTCACATTCATTTATCTTAAGGTAGAGTGAGTAATTGAAATAATATGAATGCTACCATCTGAAATGTCACAGTTTATGCTTGCTTATCATCTATATTTCAGAACTATAATTTTGTTTGCCAGGTACTACATAATTTTTATCTCTATGGATATACAGAGTTATGATGGTACCTTAGGGATAGGTGTAGAAGCTATTCATTGTTTATTTCCTTCCAGCTGTCATACATGACTTTAAGCGCTACTGAGTGCAAAAGGTTGCTTTAAAGAACTGAGAAAACAGTAGTGGAATCTCAGTTTAGGAAGGTGATTGAAGCAAGATATTGGTCTAACACGTTGTCGTTGGGGTGGAATGTGCAACCTGTGATTTTAATCATAACCCTTTGTTTCACTAAAGCATTTGAAAAAAACAAAATCCTTTTATTTCTAATTTTACCCAATAACTTTATGTAGCCATAATATGTTGTCTCTTCATATTAAAGATTTCCTATCAAACTCAAAAATTCAGTATCCAATTCACAAATGCATATGACGTTTGATCAGCTCTTGTTCTGATTTTCCCTGTACATCAAGAGCTCTCATTTATCTGATTCATATCTGTAGTACCCACTTCGTAAAACATTTCATAAATTTTAGAATAATTTAAAATCATTGGCAAAATGTAGTTGTAAAAACCTGTAAGCAGAAACTTAAAGAAATAGTATGGTTTCAGTATTTTCAGCGTCAAAGGTAGTTTTGACATTTTATATTGCTGCTAAGTGTGGGAACTGGCCAGTATTTTACAAGGTTGGGAGCTCAAGTTAGCCATGCACATAGCTCCTGGAAAAATAGTCTTTCCTAGCAATGTATGGAGAAACCCAGAACTCCTGACACTTCCCTTAGTGAAAGAGTGGGGGCTGAGCCTGTACAAAACCAAGCCAAAAATATTCCTCCAAGTTTTGGAGCAAGTGTTTACTGAGCACAGAACTTGCTCTGATGCCCTTTTCAGTCTTCTGGGATGTCTCATGGACTAAATAATCATTTTAGTAGCTGCTAAAATTAAAATTACCCCTTATTTCTGGAAATTGTTATTTATGTGGATATTCCAGAACATCACAGAGAATCAGTTTATTGTTAATGGACTTCAAAACCATAAACCTCTAAGGACTTTAGAAGCGGAACATTTCTCCAAAATTTATGTGAGAAACTTGTAGAATTAATCTCTTAATTGAAACACAATAAATTTTCTCTTTCTGTGAAAGGAAAACATTCTAGCTTCCATATTTTCAGATGTTCTGTTTCTGTTATCTCTTGCTAGAATTTGTTTGGGGTTTTTTGAAAGATAAAATTAATATTTTATTTCTGTATTTATGACGCTTGAAAGAACTTGTTGCTTCAGATAGGTAGGGCAAAATTGACCATATTTCAAAGTAGTATTCCTTCTGAAAATGTTTTTTTAAATTCAATTAGTATGTATAACCAAATATGTAATGAGCTCAAGATGCATCAGGAAGATTCATTAACATGGCATACTTAAAACTTCTGTGTGTCATTTTGGCTGGAATTTTAAGTTCTTTTACCATCTGCCCTTTGTTCAACAGCTGTATTATTGCAGCTAAAATGTTTTCATCTGCACTACATTAAAATTAATTTTAGATTGAGGACTACAGATAGCTTTTGTCCTTGCTCTTCATGTGATACTATTGTCATATAATAAAGATATCTGAAAACATAGTTTGGGATTTTTCAAGACGGGCTGAAATATTGTGAATGCTAAAATTGGTTTTTTTCAGGTACAATGACTAGAAAGAAGATTCAAAGCTATTGAAAGGGAATTAAAGAGACAGAAAGAAGTAAATAAAGACTTACTGAATGAAAACAATTATTTGAAAGAATCCTTAAAAGTGCAAAAGGAAGATGCAGACACAAGAAAAAGAGAGCTGGAAACACTACTTAAGAGGATTTGTGAAGTAAAAAAAGAAAAAGCAGAATTTCAGTTAGTAATTGATGAGAAGGGAAAAGAAGCTCCCTCTTTGAAGAGGCAAGTGACAGAAGCTAACAAGTTGAGAAATGAAAGTGAAGATTTGCTGAGTCAAGTGCAGGAGCAGAAGTGTTTGCCGGATAAAGCCAAAGCAGTGGCAATCTCTGGGCAATGTAATTGCAAGATAACAGGCACCAAGGTTAAATTAAAAACAGCCAAGAAAAAGAGCTCTTTGGGACATCATGGAGCTTTTCTCAAACAGTCCATCAAGGTTATGAGTAATGTATTTGAGAACTTCAGTAAGGACAGCTGGGAGGATGTGAATGAAAGCAGGTACAGCTCTCATTAACTTAGCCCTGTAGAGGGGACACTGTGCATATGTAAAGCACTAGCAAATGAAGATTGAATTTCAACTACTGTTGATTTGGTATTCAAAAAAAATACTGTCAGATCCTTTGAAATATCTTGGGAGGTCTTGTTCTGAGCTTATTGACTGAAATTTGCATGCGAAATTAGCCACAACTGCATGAGTATTTGAATAGGTGCCAGGAAACCCAAAAGAAGGCAATGCTTGATTTCTTCCAGTGATGCTATTTTCATGCAGTCATGAGGCTTGAAATTGACAGTTTGGCAGGTTGATTTAATTTGCTGGCCTTTTGCATATTCACCACTGACAGCTAAGGATTCCCAGGCAAGCCTAGTAAGTCGGTTTAGTTATCTTGTGACATGCCGACCCGGGAGGAGAAACATTTTTTCCCCTTAATTTAGTTAGATAAATTTTGAATGACCCATTTCAGCTTGCTAGCAGATGTCTACAAGCTGTTTAACATCCTTTAAATTAAGAACCATCCACACTAATTATTTCATGTATGTTTTATGCAGTCATTGTACTAACTTTAATTGAATGATGGTTAAAAATCAGTTCTTTAAAGGTGATGGTTACCACATACAATCCCAGTCATGAATCAAAAGGCTCTCAGAAAATTCCACTGGCAAGCATCATATAAACAATGAGAATTTTTGCTTCTCCTTATTATGTCCCCATATACTTGAGGTGGCAGCAGTTAGCCACTATGTAAATGGCCATCAAACCTTGTCTTTCACGACTTTGTTCTAAGAGACAAGCAAAGAAATTTCTCAAGCCTGTATGTATCCAAAATACAGGAAACATGGAAAAAGAGTAAAGATAATGGAATTGTCTTCATAGGCTTTATACTGGCTCTATGTGTCATTTGGAGCAAATCAGTAGTGGCAAATTAAGCTTTGTTACTACTTCTCTCCATTCAAAATAGGGGGTTCCTGAGCACAGTATCTTGAAGGAGAAAAAAAAATAAGAACCCTGTAATTTGTAAGTTGTTATCATTAATGTAAAGCTTTTTGGTGTTATGTGTAATTAAATACTGCAGATCTGATTTTACTGGAAAACATGCATGTTTGCACATATGGAATGCACATATGCATGTTGTAATTAGTGAGTATTTAATTTGCTAAGTTGTACTCCTTAAGAAAAAAATTGAGCAAGAACATTGTCATTTCATTTTAAGTTTGAAATGAAAAGTAATTGCATAGCTTCTCTTGTGGCTAGCCACAAATACTGCTTTTAATAATTGTACAAATATTTGGTTAGGGAATTCTTGTCATAGTACAGTGAACATTTTTGAAAGTGAAGTTTCAAGGTGTCATTCTCAACAAATTATGGAAGTATCTTCATTTAGTTTCCTCTTCTGCTTATTAATAAATACCATTCTTTATCACTAGTAGCTGGTTCTGAGTTTCTAAATGCAAGACTTCCATTTTCTAAATAGAACATTCCTTAAAGCAGGTGAGGGAAATGTGTATGTAGTGAGAAATATCTCCATGGCTATACAAAAGCCCCTTTAATCAAATTGCATTGATTTCTATTCTCATCAGTCAGTAAGACATAGGAATATGTTAGGACAGATTTTGAAAAGTATAAACATGTTCTTGTGTGAACTCTTCTTGTCAGTTTGAGGCCTTTTCTCTGGTTAAGTAAACTATATCTCTAAACCATTGATTTTCTTGATGCTGTAACTTAATTTGAACTCAGTTATGCTGTTTTAAAAACCTTGGTTTAAAAAGAAACAAATCAAAATAGTCTTCTGTCAAGGGATTCTTTCACAAATCTGCTCACACAAATGATGATAAATAGCCACTGATGTTACAGAAAATGATATATCCAAGACTTCATATTTTAAAGTAGACTTCCCTGAATATAAGAAAGCAAATGATAATGTGGAATAAGGCAGTGAAAAACTGGAAATTAGGAGCACATTGAGTGCGATTCTAAGGAAAAATTGTAAGCAGATTTAAAGTTTCAGGTCCAGTTTCTCTGCAGGAATCTCATTGTAGGGATTAACAGGTTTACAGAATTTATGAGCATGCTAAAGGGGTGCAAAATAGAGCTTTCCCTGAAGTGTGATTTCTGAGTTTGTCTCAGTCAACACTACAAATAAAGTTCAATTGAAACAAAATGTAATTAAGTATTGTGTATTTACTTGTCATAAAATGTGAAAACAAAGTCTAAATTTAGTAGTTTATGAGCCATTCACAAACTAGAAGTACAATGAAGAATTTTGTCATTTATTTCACTTCTGTGGATTGTCACAAAAGTTGTCTTTTAAGAAGCAGCTGAAGTCTCAGGCCTCTCTGCACTGTAGAGTGAGATTGCATTTGAAAGAGTAGAACTTAAGTAAAATCATTTCAGATTGCATTTGAAAGAGTAGAACTTAAATAAAATAATTTCAGAGATAGATTTTTGCTTTATTGTATTGGTAAAATGTGTTGAGTGAGTCAACTTAGTGTTTGCATTTTACATTAGTTTCTCTTCTTCCTTGCATGGGTTTATATGCTCTGACCCTGGAACATTTAATATTTAGCTTGATTATGGGTGTGTGTGTGTGTGTGTGTTTGTTTGTTTGTTGTTTGTTTTCCTGCATGTGTCGATTCAGTGACTGAAATACCGACTTCCAAAAGTTTGGAAACAGTGATTATGAAGACAGTGAAAAACATTGATCCACTTACAGAAGTAAACAAGAAGAAAAAAAGCCCTGCAATGTGGTTCATTTAGAAGCCCAAAATGAGCAATATAATAAAAAGGTATACAATAGAATTTGTTTTGTTCTCTTGGGTGGAGTTTTGGAGTTTAATATTAGCCCTGCTGTCCGCTCTTAATTTGACTCTCAATATAGAAGTGAACGTCGGCTTCCAGATATTCAGTGGGTGGATTCATTATATTTTAGAATATTTTCTGAACAGTAAGTGTGCTGTTGTAGATTGACCCTGGCCAGATGCCAGGCATCCACCAAAGCCTCTTGTTCACTGCCCTCTTCAGCTGGACATGGGAGAGAAAATAGAACAAAGGATTTGTGGGCTGAGATAGGGATAGAGAGAGATCACTCATCAAATACTGCCATGGGCAAAAAAAACTTGAATTAGACATATAAATTTAATTTTTACTAACAAAATCAGAGAAGAATAATGAGAAGTAAAGTAAGACCTTAAAGACACCTTATTCCCACTCCTTGCTCCTTCCCAGCTCCTTCCCCCCAGCAGTGCATGGAGACAGGGAATGGGGGTTAGGGTCAGTTCATCACATGTTGTTTCTCCCACTGCTCGGGGAGAGGAGTCCTTCGTGGATGTGGGGTCCCTTCCACAGGAGACAGTTTCCCATGAACTTCTCCAGTGTGAGTCCATGCCATGGCAGCAGTCCTCCACAAACTGCTGCAGGGTGGGTCACTCTTGCACGGGGTTCAGTCCTTCAAGGACAGGCTGCTCCAGCGTGGGTCCCCCGTGGGATCACAAGTCCCACCAGGAAATCTGCTCCAGTGTGGGCTCCTCTCTCCCCAGGTCTGCAGCTCCCTGCCTGGAGCCTGCTCCAGCACAGGCCTCCCACGGGCTCACAACCTCCTCTCAGGAATTCCCTTGCTCTGGATTGGGTCTCCTCTTCGGGTGGATCTCTGCATCCCTGTGATCCTCCATGGGCTGCAGCTGCTTCACCATGGTCTGCACCACGGGCTGCAGAGGAATCTGAGCTCCAGCACCTGCTGGAGCACCTCCTGTCCCTCCTTCTGCACTGACCTTGGTGTCTGCAGGGTTGTTCCTGCCACATGTTCTCTTTCAGCTCTTCTGTGGCCACCAATACATCTTCAATCACTTTTTTCCTTCTTAATTATGTTATCACAGAGGTGCTGTCATTTCCAAGTGGCCCAGTCCTGGCTAATGGTGGCTTTGAGCTGTCTAGCATTGACTTTTCTGGACATGGAAGAAGCTTCTGAGAACTTCTCACAGAAGCCCGCCCTGTAGCTCCCCCACTAACAAAATCTGTCCATACAACCCAAATATATCGGTAAAAGTATTTGGACAGAAATGTAAAAGTTGGTTTAAAAACCTAAAGTTGCTGTAAGCTAGTGGTGCTGTCTCATAGTCCAGACAAAGAATGCCACAGGCACCTCATTAAACTTTCAGTCAGAAACACCATACGGAACAGCCTGACCTAACCTGTAACAGGGAGACAGCAACACCCCTCTCTCCCTCCCTTCTAGCCAAGTGCTGACTAATCAAGCATAAATGTCTCTCAGCTTGTTTGTTGTGTAGTGGATGAGTTCCTCCATCTTAGAAAGATACTGTGTCCAGGAGATTCTGAAAAGCGTGCTTTTTAGCTTCTTCTTAGCCTATTTACAGTCATTGTCTGGGTTTTTAACTGCTTGTCTCATTGCTAACATCTATATACTGTTTTCTCACAGAAGAGGGCCAGCTGGTTGTGTCCCAGGTCTTTAGAGGCTCCATACAATCTGTAACAGATGACTCATTCTTGGACTTTTTAACAGTGTCTAATAGGTTTTCCCTCCTGTGTTTGTCCAAATAAATCACTTCATGTAATTTTATATATAAGTAGATATTACTATTTCTTAGTTCAAGAAACAGAATACTGACACACTGAACAACTTGCTGCTTTCAGATAACTAGTTTGAAATTCAGTATTTTGAATGGTGATATGAGTTGGAAAAAAAAATATGTTTTCTTAGCTTCCAAAATTTTAAAGCAAATGCATACTCTCTGGTCTTGTTACATATTCTTGATTGTATTATTTCAATACTTTTTGGTCAAATAAACTGAAAAAAAGGAAAAATCTTATCCATTAATCTGTTGGTAACAATACACAGTATGAGTAGGTGCACATGATATATATGAAAATCTGACAAGAATGTGCTACTCCTGGTAATCTTCTGCAAGTCCTGAATGAGGACACACAAGGCATCCAGGAAATCCAGGAGACTGTCCTCTCTTGATTGGGAGTATAGCACAGCCAGTGCAACTTCAGTAGGGCCTGTATTACATTTACTCTCTGTTCTGACTGGAGAACATAGATACATTCTGACAGACATCTGTTTCAGACTGGTGGAACTGAAGCAAAGTCAGGAAGTGTCCAGAGAGCCCTAAGCAGTTAAATGCTCTTCAGTAGAACTCCCCTATGGCAGGAAAAGGATTTGAAAACATGGTTTGTGAGTATGGAAGAAAGTATTGCACAAACATTTAGCATTGACAGCTGGGAACAACACTTTTAACAGAATTCTTGAATCTGTCCAGAGGATTTAAAGACCCTACTGCTGGATCAAGGTATTCTCATACAAAGGGAGGCTAAAGCAATCTCCAAAGTCTTGAGCTGTGCACGGGGTTGGAGATGAGACCATTTATGATAAAAGGACTTGGTCAGCTTTTCCTCACGTGGTAGGAATATATAATACCCTGTGTGGTGTCAGCAGAGTTACTGAAACTCTCTTACAACTCATACATTTATTAGACCTGTGGCCTAGAATGGAGATCTCCATCTTTTTGCTGCAGGCATGGATTGTTTGCTCATCATCTGCTGAGAGCTCAGTTCTTGGTCTTTCAAATTGTGTGGTGATTGTACTCATCTACAATTCATGGCTAAGTTATTCTGCAATGTCACTAGTTTGTTCAGTGCAGTTTGTAGAGAATGTGTTGATCTTTACTCTTTTAAATTTGCTTAACAACTATTTTAGATATGAATATTCTCAGAAATATGTTGCATGATATAACATAGAAATTGCAATCTGAAGACTTAAACTGGAGAAATGTTGCAGTATTCCTGATCAAAAGTGTTTAGATATACACTGAGCATTTAATACCCAGTAAATTAGTGCACAAACCCACTGATAAGCTGTTGCAAGATTTGCTTTTTTGAATTTGTATGTATATTTTCAGATATTTAGGTCATTATTTTAAAGTGAAATTCTCATGTAATAAATGACTGTCAAACAGCATCTTTTCACACAGTTAAAGTTAGTTTTTAGTAAGTTCCACCTAGTGAATCTACTGACTGATATGAGGTTTTTCATTACCTTTTGTTCATGTTTGCCCCTTATAGCAAACACAGCCAAGGAAACAAATTAAATGTATTTTGGTTTAGACCTTAAAAAAACCCAGCCTGGTAACGAGACACTGAAGCCTTTATTTTTGATAATCTTGATCAGAAATTCAAGACATGTAACTTCCAAGTTCTTGTTGATTTTGCATTGTTGGCATTTCAGAAAAAGTACGACATGGAGTGTTTATAGGTTCACTGTATTGTATGTTTTATGTTTTTGTAGGTCAGCTGTTAATTTACCAGTTTACTTACTGATATATATTTTAGACACTGCAAGACTGTTTTGAAGGGCCAAAACAAAATCATAAATCATTTTATTTATGATGATTTTGTCCATTTAGTAACATGCCATTTTATGTTCAGTGTACAGAGCAAAAAGAAGAAATACCACTGTCTCCAGAAACTGTCCAGGGTTACTCTGTTACTCAACTACAGGAAAAAATTAAGTCACTGCAGAAGGAGATAGCTGTTTTACAGAGTAAAAAAAAAGACAGCAGTGGATTTCATTAAGAATGTTAAAGAAAACAATGAAAAATTAACAAGTCATTTACCTTTGGCTGATCAGAGACTTCAAGTTAATAAACTGGCCATAGAGGTAAAGTACTTTTCATTATAGTGTCTTGCAATGTTCACCTTAATTCTACTGTAGTTCTGTGAAATTTTGATAACACTGATTTTTGTATTTTAATTTAATATAGGCAAAATTATGAAATATTATATATTACCATGCTTTGTGTGGGCCAGTTATTATGTATAAATGATATTGAGGCTTGTGTATCAATGCAAGTCATTTATCCTTTTGAAAAGAAAGTGTTTTCATGCTGGTATTTTACATGTATTCAGATGAGTGAGGTAATTTTCACTTCTAGCCTGTGATCTGCAAACCTTCCTGAGAATCTGGTCAGTCCAAAACTGTTCCTCTGTGAAGAACAGGCACTGCTCCTTACAAACCACGAAACCTTTTCTTCCAAGGGGGCTCAGACCAGTTCCATATCTATTTAATCCCATCTCTCTCTGTTGGAGTGAAAAGTCAACACACAAAGTTTATGGAAATAGAGACTAGTAAAGTATTTAGTTAACAGCCCAAGGACACAAACTTTCTTCTCTGCTTCAGTCTTCATTTCTACTTAATCCTTTTCCATGCCATTACTCCTTTCTGGTTTTCCCCATTCTCATGTATATATGTATTTTGTGTTAATCTATATGCAGCTCCTCAGCTGGAATTCTTTTCTGTTCATACTGTAGTGATTGGCCTGCCCTTTATAGAGCTGAATCAACAAACACTTATGCAGTAATTGTCTCCTGTTGGTCACACACACATCCTGCTTCCAGAATTATAGTACTGCAACAGATGGACTTGCTGGAAGGAGGCAGACATTAAAAAAGAAATCAAATCCCCTCCCCCTCAAACTTCTCTGTATTTTTGTCTTGGCACAGAAGGCAGAAGCAGTATCAGGAGCAGCACTTTTCACTTTCTTAGGACTAGGGAACTGCTAATTTCTGGAGGAGGGAAAACTTCATTTCTGCTACTCATTTTACATAACTATATATGTGTAATGTATTGTTTAAAAACAGTTTCCAAGGTCATTGGAACCAATGAAGATCTGTCTGTCTTACAAGCAGATAATGTAAAGTTTCATGGACAGTATAAACTTCACAGGGAACTATACGTGTAATTTAGCTAAAACGTTCTGATTTCTCAGACTTCATGACTTACCTTCCTAGAAGACTGCTCCTTAGGTGTCCATAGAAGATCAATGTGAGAAATAAAATAGAAAATGTCGTTATCTGGGAACTGGTTAAAAAAAAGCGAAAAGCGGGGGGAACAAAATTTATGTCAAGATAAGAGCTGCTGTAATGGAAAAGACTGACTAAAACAAAAATAGCATGGCTTCAAAACTAAACTGGTTTTCTATCACTCCGTTTTTCTGGAAGGTATTTAAAAAAATTGGTCACTGGTCTATTTAAAGGGTGTTGCATTCCAAGCAAAAATAAATAAAGGGTGTTTCGGGTACTCAAGGAAAAAATCTTTATTAGGCATGCATATTTTTTTCCTTCTCAGCAAACAATTCAAATTCCCCTTCTTACAACTAATTACTCTTCAGGTGCCATACTAGTGCTACCAAGTGGGAAATTTAAAGCCGAGGCTTGGGCTACTTGCCAAGTGAAAATTAAGGAGGTAAAGAACCTACACAGTCACTGCAGGGTACACCCGTGTTTTAGAGAGAGAACCCTGATTCAGACAGATCTAATAGTTCTAAAGCACATATTTTTTGTAGGGGACTTTTATGGGGTTTTTTTGGTAAGAAATACTATCTAGACGTGAAGTTTTAAGATACTGCAAGGGAAAAAAAATGTTAATGTTTTTTGTTAATACTTCTGTTACTCTAGATTTACTTGAGAGGTAGAAGGTAAAAAACGAGCAGTCAAACCATAGGAAAATAAAAGATTGACACAATCTCTGGATTTGGAGGAAATTATAAGTACTTCAAGAGTGGCAAAATTACTTCTATCCAAAAATAAGTGTTATGGTTAACTGCCATAACCAGTTCTGAGTGCACTTGCATTAATAGTGAGCTTTTAGTCCTTGGCTGGGGTAAGTTTAGCAGTCTAGCAACTATAAACATTAACATCATGGCTTGAACAAGCTGCCATTTTGCCTGATTTTATCTAAGAAAATAAATCCTTTAGCAGACAAGGACAGATGTTTGCGCAGTCAGTCCTTCATTACAGTCCCCAGGGACTCTAGAAGATTGACTCTAGATTTAAGATTTAAATGTTCCAGATGTTCGTTTTGAGACAGATTTAACAGTTCATGCAACCTAAGGACTGTCTAGCATCTGTTGATTTTCAGAATACGTACTTGCATGGTTTTGTGTGCTTTTCTTGAAAATCCACACAGACAAATATCTCGGTGTATATTTGTCTGCTCTTAAGAGTTCAGAATTCTGGATTTAAGTTCTGGTTTTGCTTGGCCATATAAATGCTTTGCAGTAATGTAGATAGCTGACTTTGTTTCATTCCTGCAAAAGCAATTCTTTGCATATTTTAAAAAATGGCTGTGAAGTGACTGCATATGTGAGAATCAACACTTACATTCTCTAAGGATTCACATTAACACTGAGTCAAGACCATCTGTACAGAAGTTCAGCAGTTACATTTTGTTATTGGTGTATAGAAACCACAGCTGGAGCAGATACTTAATGTGGAAACAGTGATATTTATTATTTTCTTAATTTCTAAGAAAAGCGTTTGAAAGAAATTGTTGGAAAAAATCAGGATCTTTTTTCTAAGGTTTAGTCTTCTCCTCTACTCATTTCTAACAATGAGTGATTATAAAAAGAGTGTATTTATTGCATAGAACACAGTAATCATTGTTAGTTTTATGCAGTGTCATTCTTATGGCAAAAATCCAGACAAAGTATATTGAATAAGAAATTAAAATCGTAATTAATTTAAGTCACTAGTGCTTCTTTTAGTCATGTCAAGGCTATTCAAAGGTCCACTCTGAGATGTACCATACGTTTGCATCTCCAGTTCTCGAGTGTTTCTCAGGTGATATCACAGTAAAGCTGCATTTCCTTACGAAATACTGTACACAATTGCAAAGTGCACGTGTAAGTCTACTTCAGCAGGAAGCTTGAATCTCAGAATAAGAACAAGTCAACCAGTCAAATGCTGACACATTCTTTGAAGAGGATAACATGAAGGTTTAAGTAAAGTTTTGGGGTTTTTTTCCAGATTCCTTCCTGGAAACAGGTTTTAATTGTTTTTTGAAGCATATTTTAAATCTGACCCAGATGAGTTTTTTCTGACAGCACTTTAAATATACCTCCAAACTTTTTTTTTAGCTATTTGATTTTCACTTTTCTTTGAATTTTAAGGGAACTCTTTCCCCCTGAGCTCATAGTTTGTTTATCTAGTAGATTATCTCAGGCATAGAAAAGTATGAGCATGAAAAGCAGAAAAGTAAAGTGCTAAAGAAAGCTTTTTATTCTTTAAAGGTTGTGGCTTTCTTTACATATTCTCTTGACTGTTTTTTATTGCTCAGTGTATCAAAGGACAGGCCAGAATTTGGTGTTACATCTGAAAAACCAGCATCACAGCTTCACTCCCTTTATGGTACCCAAAATACATCAGCCAATTTAGTGCTATTCAGTTGCACTGAAACAAAGGAAAAACTGATGATAATTTTAAATGTATTGGAAATTATTGGCTGAACTATTATTTTATGCAAATATCTTAAACTCTGGTTTTCATGACGGATTTTTCACTCTTTAAATATGTATTATAACAATTAATATATCAATTACTTTATATATATATATAATATATATAACAATTATTTATTACATATATATCTAACAATTTGTGTATGTTTATGGTTTTCCTTAAAGTAAATTTTAGGAATAAATTTTAAATTATAAACGGAATGCTATTTGTAATTATCCTGCAGTAGCTAAAACTGCTTTTGAAATTTCCTCACGTTTTATTCATTCCAGCAAATATGTAATTACTTGGACAGATATTTTAGGCTTTCTAGATAAATGTTGTCCAGTTAGAAATGGTTGTAAACCCATCCAGTTATTTCCTGTCAAAACTCTTTTATAAATGTCCTGGTTTTATGTGTTTGAAATCTCTTACATGGATGTGCTCCAGAGCATTTGTATATTTTTATTAAGTTCATGAAAGAGATTCTACATTTAGTGTCAACTCTTCTAAGTTGAATGTTGGATTTTCTTCTTTCTCTGGTAACATGAAAAGATATTTCTCATTATGTACATTAGATGATTTTAAGGACACCTACAGAAGATCTGAATGACAAAATTTTATTAAAAGTTTTAGAATGATTGAAATTTGGAAGACTTCAAGTTATGTATAAATAGTAATTTATACAAATAAACTTTGTATAAAGTCACTGCTATGTCAGTAGCATGTGCAGGAATTCTGACTTTCATATATATATATAAATAATAAAATAAAGTAAAAGAAGAGATGCTGATAATGATCACATATTTTAATAGGTCCAAAATAAAAGAATTGAAATTGCTTTTGCTTTGTTAAACAATGTCCCTTTCCATTCTCTACAGGGCAAAGTTAAGTCTTACATGTAGCTATCTTAAAAATAAAAACCCCGTATACATTATATTTAACACTTTTGACAAATTTGATCCAAAATAATTTCTTCAGCTGTCTACCTTTGGCACAGATTGTAATGGAATAACCAGAGAATTCTGTGAAGCTGTTTAGGAAAAGTCTGTTCCCAAAAACATTAGGAGAAGTGTCAAAGTATTATTTCTCTCCCTTTCTTTAGAAGCATATAGGTAATCTTGCCCTAACTACTTTTAATAAGAGCAGTTTAGGTTAATTTACGGGAACTGTAATCCTTGGGCCCAATACTCTGAAACAAGTAAACAAGGTTTCTCAAAAATATTTAAAAATTAAACCAGCAAATTTTCTATTCTGCTTTTTCTGAAAATTCAATACAAGTTGAAAGGTAAACCAGAGTGAGTAAACCTATCATGAACCAGGATATACTGCCAACCTTTCCAGAGTTTGCCAATGCAATCTAAGACAGCAGAGGTTTACATAATAATTGAACTAAGCTATGTATCAG